CTCTGGGCGAAGGCCTGGCAGAGGGGCTGGTAACCAGCCCTGTGGCTGTGCTGCCCGATTGGGTCCCGCTGCTCGAGTTGCTCCGTTCCAGCGGGAAGGTGCCGTTCCCGGCCAGCCGTGGGCTCCCAGCCCTGGGGGGCGCGGGGATGATGGCCCCTTCCCAGCCTTCTCCCCACCGGGGATGGTAGCACGTGCTGCTGGTTCTTGGCACGGTGCTGGCTGGTGTTCAGGGGCTGGTGCTGCCCATCAAACACCACCGAGAACTGGCGCTTCCTCGGGAAATGGATGCGCCCTCCGCTTGGAAAAGCCTAGTCAAGGGAAATGTCATCCCTCCCCACACGCTGTTTTGGTACCTCGGTGTATTTTTAACAACATCCCCGAGTTACAAGCTGTGTTTTCAGTGAATCAGGCATTAATCTCCTGCGCTCGTTAACCCAGCGCAATCTGGCGAAGCCGCCGGTGTTGCGGGGATGGTTGTGTTCGCCCAAACTCCCGGCTGCGCAGGCAGGGAAAGTGTCACCTTTGGTTTATGCCAGGAAAAGAGAGCTTTGTTAAACCAGCGTGCCAGGCTGGGCTCATGGACTTCACATCCCCTCATCTTTCGCCGTCCCCTGCCCTGTTTAGTCCCAGGGATAGGGCAGTTCTGCCGTGGTACTCTCGCCTGCCCCATGGCGAAGGGAACTGGACAGACTTAAAGTTAAAATGAACCTCTCTCAGAGTACAGACAACAGGAACAGTGTGGTGTGTCCCTTCCCTCTGCGAAACGTTACTGCCCTATGGACTCTAATGTGATGAGTGTGGCTACAGATGTCCTTTATCAAAGGTTCTGGTGACCCAGGTGCTTTCCGTGAGGTTTGCACGGCTCCTGCCTTGAGCACGGAGTGGGGCTGCCTGCGAACCCCCTCACCTGTGCGGCAGGGTCTGGCCGTGAGCCCACCTCATCCTGTCCCCTCAGGTCAGGCACAGGAGCGCTGGGCTTCAGGCTTTGCTTTTAAATCAGTTCAGGGGTGAGGCGTTGCTCGTGGGGTAAGTCTGGGGTAAGGCAAAGAAGCTGGGTTTAGATCAGCAGTGAGGAAGGTGCCACGGCAGGCTGCGGGCAGAGGGATGGATCCCGGATCGCGTGAACTGGTTGTTACAGCAGCGCTGGCGCTTCTCTGCGCGTGGCGGGTTGGGCAGTGATTTATGGGGAGCGATGCAATTGCTCCAGTTCTGAAAAGTGCAAGGGAAGCTGAATATCAGCGAGGGGAGAAGCAAGATAGCTGTGCTAATGAAAAAAGAAAAGTATGTATGTGTAAGAGCTGATTTTTAATCAGCTGCTTCTAGGTTACGCAAAGCGATCCTGAGAGATTGGAGGCTCCTGCAACGTCCTCTTTAATGGCTACTTCATCACTCAGCAGTGCTGACTTCTAATTTGAAATGAGGGTTGTGGTTTTGTTTTTTTTTTCTCCTCCGGAAAGAGTGATTAAACAGTGCCAGCAGAACCCCCAGAGCAGTGGTGGTGCCAGCTGTAGGGGCAGGTAAGCTCGGGGCTCGGGACTGACAGCCTCGGGCGGCACTGCTGGGCTCGGGTACCACCGCTTGCGGATTCTCGTGGGTGCTGACTGATGATAACTGAGAAAAAAATGCATGAAAACACCGTCTTCTCCTTTCCTCTGGAAGCCAAGTGGTGCTGGTGGGACGTGCTTTTGCCCAGCCACTGTGTCCTGTGCAGAGAGGCTCACCGGAGCGGTGGGCGAGATGGCCCTCGGGTTGCAGGGCCAATTATTTTGTATAAAATTCATCCAATTATTTTGTATAAAAAGATCATTTCTGGCCTTGAAAAATATTGCTGAGAGCTTCCACCACCCGCCCAGAAAACCTCAAGCTGTCTGTGACTGCTCAGGAGGGCAATGGCAGAGCCCCCCCACTCTCCCAGCTGATTGCCCCCCCCATCCCTCTGGACCCCCCTGCACATGGGGGGTTCCCTGTGGAAGGGACCCGCAGCCGTTCAGCTGTGCCTTGCCCGGGGGGATGCTCAGCCCGTGCCAACCGGGCACCCTGGGCATCGCCAGAGCCGGGGTGTGCTCGCTGTGTTGCCTCGGTGGCTCCAGCACGGCCCTCCCGGGGGTCTGTGTGGGCTGCTGCCCCCCCAGCTCTGCTGAATTGCCTCAGACTGGGGAATCAGTGCAATGGAAGCACAAAGGGCTTTTACTGGCCAGTTACTTAGAAACCAAGCATTGATTTTTACTTGGCAATTTCGCAGCTTCCGGGCTTGTCTCTGTGTATATATATCTGTGTGTGATACATCTACACATACACCTGCAAGCTGCAGAACAGAGAGATATCTATCTATCTCTCTCTCTCTCTCTCTCTCTCTCTCTCTCTCTATATATATATATATATATATATGTATATATAAA